TATAATAAACAAATACATATGAATGCAATAACTATATTAAATGACTATAATTGCAAAGAACATTATATTTTATATATATTGATATATATATATATATAGATTCTCTATTTAAGTATATGTAAATATAATATAAAAGCAATCTTTATTCAATCAATATCCTTGCAATGACATTTCAATATTTTGAAATAAAGTACTACCTTNTCTATTTAAGTATATGTAAATATAATATAAAAGCAATCTTTATTCAATCAGTACCCTTGCAATGACATTTCAATATTTTGAAATAAAGTACTACCTCTTAAAATGGGTCGAAAAAGAAAACAAATTTGGTTGGAAAAATGAGATATAAATTAATTGTATATATTCATTTATCAATTATAATAAATAGTTCTATAAATGTTCTTATTTTATAACTTTAAAGGAAATAGTAAATACTAAATACTAATACGCTCCCACTTCCCTCTGATAAATATTAGATATTCAAGCATAATGTTACGAGACATATAACTGTAACACTTAATATCTCTTCCTTTCACCTCTATAGAAACACAAAGTATTTGGAAAACAGATATTTTCAATCACATGTCTTACATCTTCTATAATCATAAATCACATATCATCAAGACTTATTCTTCTCATCGGAACTGTCAGAATAAATTTATATAAATATTCCGAGCTGAAGTCTCCTTTGCCGTTCGTACATTCGATGAAACACAGATATTTCATTTACAAACAATATAAAATCAAACTTCCATTATTTAGAGAACATCCGAAAACACAACTTCCGACTGTTGGTACAAAAATAATGAAATCGCACTAGTCGTAAAACTATATTTTTATCAGATCTATCTGTTGTAATATGGAAGAACTCTTTTCACACAGTGCATCTTCTATCTTGGAATATTTTCTTTTCGATTCTCGATGAGAAGATTAAGTCTTCAAAACTTCGAGAATATTCGACACCGTTTTAGATGCTTGTAAAATTCTAAAATTTTACTGAATAATACCTGAGGTGTCCATCTTTACTTTTTCCCCTCAAAATGTTTTTGAATCTTTCAATAAAACGCTCGCGTACAATTTGAAATTCTCTCGTTTATATTTTTAAACATATACAAGAGACGGCAAGTATGTTTCTTTGAGTTATCCATACCAATTATTCATGTTTCGTAATGTAAGATAACGATACTATGCCATATATATCGTCGTAATGCGCAGGAATGATTTCGGGAATACATCGCTGAAAATTAGTGGCAATTGATCCGTGGTTGTTGAATATTTACATTAAACCAACTAATGTTTCTAATCAGCCTTGCGTGGCTTACGCTTGCGAACACTGGGACTGCTGGTATCCGTTTTAGTATCCGTCTCTTTCTCACTCGCTTCAAGTTCTTCCGGTTCAGACACCTCTTCACCTTTTGCCTCTTCGGGTGTTTCAGCGAGTTCCTCTGGCTCTGACTCGTCCACCAAATCATCCCCGACGTTTTCCGAAAGTTCATCTTCATCTGAACCTTTCTCCTGTGCAGTCACTGTACCATTCTGTTTCTTTTTGCCTTGCCGAGATGGTTGTAGCGTCGGTTTTGGTGGATAAATGAAGTCAATCAAGCAAACGATAAACTACACAATTATAGACATAATTAATTTTTCATTTGTCATATATATAAAAATCTTAAATAATCCATGAAAATATATAACTCACCAAACCCATTATTCCACCCAAAATAATTGTTGCAATAGCAAATATAAGATAACTACCCCATGCTGGCAATCCAATCTCCTCCAAAAGTCTGGTGTGAATAGCCTGAAGTAAAGGACAATAATATTATATTTTTATTCAACTAGTATATTTCACTTCGTACGAATTAGAACCATTTTATTGATCTATATCAATTCTTGTATTAATACTTTACAATAAATATATATAAAATTTCATAATATATAAAGCATAAATATACCTACTCTTAATACTTGAGACAATTTAAAGAATTGACTTAAAATTGACATATGGAAGGCAGTTGGACTCTTCCAACTAGGTATTGGCTCGACTTTTGTCCATGTTTTCTCTAATATAAACTCAATCAACGAGTCTTTATCTCTTGGACTTTTATATTGCCTGAATACACCATCATTTACACTAGAATATGAAAAGAACCAAGTTTCAAGATGTGCAAAAAACAATAGGATATAATTACTTTTTAATATATAACTTTTAATTGAATATGATAATATATGAAATTAAACTAAAGAAATATATGATACATTTTGAATTGTACATATATTTATAAGTATTAAACTTACTGGAATATTGTAGGCAAAGCTGTAACCATAAATCTGCCACTAAGACCTGGAGAATTTGTTACGTCTATTTTTCCAACATTAATATTGAGTTTTTGGTCAGAACTTTCTTTCGCAAATTTTTTCCAGATTTCTTCAAGAGATTGACACGCAGGACACCATGGTGCATAACTAATATGAATATTGTAATATATCAGAAACTTCAATGAAGCATGTATCGCACATTTAATAAGGTTACTAAGTGTTTCAGTTTTTCTAAATGCAATTTCTAAATGCAAAGTCACTGCTTTATTCTCAGGACTTTTATCTACTTTCCTGAAGTATAACGTTGGTAGTAACGTTTGTATACCTCACATTATCAAAAGAATTGATAATTTCGACGTTATCTCTCTGTCAAGCTACCAATTTCCATAATTTGACGCAGAACTTACAATTCAACCATCCATTCTCCCGTGAGCATGAGGTCCCAATTGTCTTCGTTAAGCTGCACTACCAGACTATCTTGCGCGTTCGCGCTCACGTGCGCGGAAATTAGCGCAATGCAGGAAATATAAAATACGAGGCCCATTCTAACGAGCGACATTTTACCAGTAATGACTTTAACCAACACTTACCGGCACCGTGCTCAACGATAATCACCGAACAAAAGTAATCACGATTAGTCTTTGTAGTCCTAGTCCTATAGTATGGCCTGGTTTCAACCTTACGCCATCTTGAGGTGGTTCTACATGGTAGTAAATTGATTAAATACCAACTTTGGGTATGTACATACAAATCAAATAGAGATTTTCACTTTTTGAGTGAATTCTCATAGAAGATCGATGATTTTTGGATTGAGAGAAAATGCTAGCGCTTCGATGTCCTCATATTCACTAATTAAACGCAAATTAGTAAAAAGTGTGTCAGATTCTCCAATGTGATTGGGACAGCGGAAAATGACATAAACCAGCATTTGGATTACAACTACAGTTAAAGCCAGTGGCACACGATGTTTGTTTCGTGCTGAATTGCTTGCTGAATAGAAATACTGCGTTCTGATTGGTGCATTTCTAAAAATGGACGACAATGTACCAATCAAAATGCAGTATTTTCATCCAGCAAGCAATCCAGCAAATAAAAAATAATGTCTGCCACGAACTTGAAACAAGTTATATTTGGCCAATTCTCAGTGCTAATATCTCTGATATTTGCATGATATCGTGATAAAGAGAAAATTATTAAATGATTACACGCGTTCCAAAACTCTAATCAACGATTAGGCCTTTTCTTTTTTTCTCCTGATTGGTCAATTAACTTCTTCCTTGCCGGTCTTGTAATATTTTGGAACGCAACCAGTCCAGAGTCAGTGCGTATGTCGAATCCACTATAAATGTCCACTAAAAGTGACTGAAGTCTCAGTTACTATCGTACTGTTAGATGGTCTTTCACGTCAGCCTGTATGCGGGTCTCGACGATTAATTGATTAATTTTTATTTGTTTTTTCTAGTCACACATACGATTAAGATGTTCCCACAAAGTACACAGAAGAAATATTGGATGTTCAGCGATGAGGCTGACTTAACCACGTTAAGGGAGAAAACTAATGCTGATTTTATCGTAAAACACGGAGCTAACCTGACTGTAAGTGCATCCTTGTAATATCTGGTTATAACTATAGCGTTTTTTTTTTATTATCTATGGCATGTTTGCTCTTTTGCCATACTTGTCATATAATTAATGAAATTTAAATTATCGCAATGTTTTTTGCAAGTTCGCTGCACAAATATGTGCTGTGCCTATCAGCAATAGCTATGTGTTAAACAGAAAATTTTCTAAATAAATATGATTGTAATAGTTTAATTATGATTAAATTATACAAATTATTATTCGAATAGCCGGAACAGAAGGAAGAACACTTCCTTTCACACACAGAGGAACGTACACTTCTTCGTTTCTATGAATTACAACTGAGGGACTTCTGTCGCCGTTTTAATCCACCAATGCCTCGTGCCACTGTAGCCACTGCTTTACATTACTTTAAAAGGTTTTATCTTAGAAACAGCGTAATGGATTATCATCCGAAGGAAATCTTGGTCACTTGTGTTTACCTAGCATGCAAAGTAATTATCCTTGGTACCTCAATATTTTTCCACCTCAATATTGTAACCTCGATCTTCTTGTACAAATATTATGTTTCAGGTTGAAGAATTTAATGTTTCGATATCTCAATTCGTGGCAAATATTAAAGGTGATAGAGAAAAAGCATCTGATATCATTCTTAACAATGAACTGCTTCTAATGCAGCAGTTGAATTATAACCTCACAGTTCACAATCCATTTAGACCCGTGGAAGGATTAATGATTGATATTAAGGTATATAATGAATATTGTTTATCAAATATGTGACAACGATAAATAAATAACAAGTATTTTTGCAGACGAGATACATGTCTTTGGAAAATCCTGAGAAATTAAGACAATATATAGATGAGTTTTTAGAGAGGGTTTTCCTGACAGACAGTGTCCTTCTTTATGCTCCAAGTCAGGTTGCACTGGCTGCAACTTTGCATGCAGCATCCAGAGCTTCTGCAAACTTAGACAATTATGTTACTGATATATTGTTCTCGAGGGAACAATTAGGAGGAATTATAGAAGCTGTTCGCAGTAAATATATATTACATGAATTTATATATATATTCTCTTTTATATAAATTATTTATATTTAAAACTCTTACAGAAATACGCACAATGGCTAAATGTGTGGAGCCACCATTACGGGAAGTAGTAAGAGCTTTAGAAAAGAAATTAGATAAATGCAGAAACCAAGAGAATAATCCTGATAGTGAAATGTAAGTATATTTATACACAAGTTTAATATTACCACTTGTAAAAATATATTTGTACGAAGCAAAAGGGTATTTAGATACAAGCAAAGAATGCAAGAAATGCTGGACGAAGAAGATTTACAGGACAGTGAGAGGTATGCTAAAATTATTCAAGATCAAGCAGCCCACGATGAAAAAATTTTGGGAGTTGGTAAAATATTATCTCCTTCTGTTCTTTGATATGTATATACTTTACTGGTTGTAATAAAAATCTTATCTTATTTTACTGGTTGTAATAAAAATCTTACACAAGAAGCTATTCTAGAGGTCCCATATATATTTATCAGCCTAGAATTTTATAGTGACAAATTAATTTGTATTAGTTATAAACTTAAGGTATATATACTACTAGTTTGTTCATATTTTTTTTATTATACGCTCATTTTCTATTTCATAGTATTAAGAAATTTATATTATTTTGAATGTATACTCTGTATATCCTTATAAATGCATATACATCAAGAAATATCAATAATTGTACAAATTTATTGTAGACTTATTATTTTTATGTGCTCCTTAAACTAACTTTATATTGAGAATTGTATCTTTATATTGAGAATTGTACCATTATTTCATAATGAATAACTCCGTAAACAATATTAAGTTCCGCAGTAAGTGCGATTTATTTACACGTATGTATTTTTTTCGAATTAACTACAATGCATTTATATGAAATGAGTATAATATCAAGTCAATATGAATTAGATGGAGCACATACATTTATACGCAATATATTTATCTTTTATAATAACTTCTGGAATCTATTGTTTAGCATTTAAACAAATCATAATAAAATTTCTGTTTTTATTAATTTTGACATTACCCCGCATGTTAGATAATAATATGTTTTATATTATCGAGCACCGATGATTCATCTGCATAAAACTAAGGATCATGGTGCCTGAAGTCCAATCTCTGAGTAAGGTGATGCGCAATATGATTGGTCGGCATGTTTTGGAAAATAGATGATTGTTGTCTCACTGACAAATTACTGGGTAGTGGCTGTACAATGGGCAATGCAGGATGCAATGGTAATGGCGTTAAATGCTGTGGGAGAAGTGGTCCTGGTTGTGGTTGTCCCGGGTAATTAAAAAACCTAAAGAAAACACATTGTTAATATATATAAAGAAGCTCAAGATATAATTCATATTTCATAAATTCAAATTAGACTTTAACCATAATCGATCCCCAACAAAAATAGGACGGGGTGCTGGAATTCCTAGACTCGAATAATATTGTTGCGCCAATAATTCAACGTCATTAGTATACTTTCTTTTCCACTTGGTTCGCCTGTTTTGGAACCATATCTTTATCTGTAAACATTTAAATCGAAGTTTATACATTTGAAACTTTGTAGGCGATATAGAATAATTTGATATATATGCATACATATGTAAAATTATAGAAGAATGTTAGGAAGACTTGGGCAAAAAAGGATACTCAGTTGTTTAATGGCGAAAAAACGATGTAATAATCGAGATATAATTGTAATTAGTCTTTGATCAACATATAAGAAATATATTTTTAGGTAAAATAGTTGTTTTTTAGAAAAAAACAATGACCCATGGACAAAATGTTACATTTAATAAATTAATTATAGTTTTCAGATTTTTAATTTTATTTTAGATATTGTGTACAAATTTATGCTACTAAAAATAGATACAAAAACTTATAATTTATATCTCACTATTTATCGTGATCAGAAAAAAAAATATTTGCCCCGGGTGAGGATCGAACTCACGACCTTAAGATTATGAGACTTACGCGCTGCCTACTGCGCTACCGAGGCACTTAAGAATTGCTATTTCTAATAAATAAAGTGGAACATGTGATTCTGACAATACATCACGAGTATTAAACAGAAAAATGTATAAAAAATGAAAATTAAAAAAATAATATACTAAATTATTTGAAATACACAAAAAGTGTCTATTTTTTATATATTTTACAGTTAAAGAGAATAAGAGTATTCCTTTCACATGTATAAAATATGTACGCTAAAAGCATTAATAAATAAATCATTTAACAATAGTACAAATTATTTATTGAGCCATTTATTATACTAGTAAGCAACAAAATTACATCCAAAAAATCATCGAGTAATATAGAGAGTTATTCTTTAGACAATTTAGACGATCCGATAAATCGAAAAGTATTACAGAAATTGTACCAGTCTTTATCGTAACAATATGAATTTAAGAGCCTAGGTGCGCAGTATTGCAGAAAATGTCGGAAACGGTAGCCAGTTTACTTAACAATGATGTATCACGGAATACTAGGAAGTAGAATTTTGTCCTCTGTTTAGATCTAAATTCTTCTGGAAAGTCAGATCTTTCCAGAGGTAGTCGGTTCGCGAGTCACATACAGTCAGCCATGTATCCTAATTAAAAAATCGACGCCTCTCCGGTTCGTCGCCTCGACGGCGCGCACAGCAGCCGTCGCTCGGTACATTTCGTTCCGCAAGCTGCGCGACGACGGGACGTATGAGATAGGCGTGCGAGAAGAGTAGAAAAGGGGCCCCCAGAGCCGGCTCGTTAACTCTGAGAAATATTGTGACAGTTATGTCTACGGCACGACGCGTCTCTTTCTTGCCTCTGATCCGTCGTCCGATCGTTCTCTCTTGCGGGGGCGATCGCGAGGAGATAATTATCCGGCTCGTTCGCGATATTTCGACCGACGCTGGCAATTATTGCCGCGGCGAGCAACGAGCCGGCGATGACGGCGCAGCGCAATATCCGCGACGGTATGAATATTCCGGGTGCGTGCCGTAAATTAATTAGTTTAGAGCACACGCGGGTGTAAAGCGCGCGATACAAAGTGCACGACTGAGACTTATGCAACCATCGCACTCGGAGCGCTTTGTAAAAGTAATCGTCATCTCGAGGAATTGTAACCCTCCCATGCAATCGGGTTAATCTTGGAGGGTAACACCCGCTGAAAGTGTACGGTGAATTAAGGCCAATGTGAAAATAAAAGTAAAACTTAGGTAATATAGGGGGAGACATTATTTCGGGAACGTTTCTTGATACGCGTATGCTACAACACAATTACATTTAGGGCATCACATTGGAGTGCTTATATCAAGCAAATATTAAACTGTCACATTTTTATTTGTTCGATATATTTCTATCTAGATCAATAATTTTGGATGTAATACCGATTCTATACTTTCCCTATGAGCTATGGTGTTATATGGCTGAAATCTGGGTTCATTGTACATTGTAATGTAAAAAAATTGCCCTTGAAAAAGTTAAGTACTTGGGCAGAAACGTCTATCTACGACAGTTCGCTTGAAAGAAGGGTGTGCAAGTGCTAATTGGTCTTAAAAAGGGCAACCCTCCCCCATGGCGCCATGATCCGGCGCCTGAACACATGGTGCTTCGTTAAGGCCCATAATTTAGAGTCAGTTGATTTTAAGGAACTCCAAGTACAAGGAACTTAAATTCCTTCAGGTGCTGAAGAAAATGTACAGGAGTCAAAGACATTATCGCGATTTATCGAGTACATCCTGTGTGTATCGTGATTTACAGGATGTTTTAGATCAACATGGACTAACTTTGTAAAAGCGTAGAATGAATTGTGGTGAATAGAAAAATTCTCTACCATTTAGCAAACAACGTGCAAATTTCATTTTAATTTCATATTAATTATTCAAAGTAGCTATAAATTATTGATTAAAAAAGTCTTTATACATGGCTGTTTTCATTAATAACTTCAAATTTTACGTACTATTTGCAAAAATGGGGGAACTTTTTTCATCTCAATCCACTCACGTCCTTATTAAATTTTCCCATATTAATCTAGGACATCCTGTATATATTCTGGCTTCTCTCTCTCTCTCTCTCTCTCTTTGTTTCAATTAAATTTATTTGTGATATGTACATAGATGACTCATAGCATTATTAATGATTGTTGAATCAAGTAAAATCAGTTTTATGATACAATTTCTTCGAAGGGATGGTTAACTTATACACTACATCTAAAATATTTACCTGAGTTTCCGTGAGCTTTAAAGTTTTGCTCAACTGCAGCCGCTTTGCCACACTCAGGTATTTGTTTCTCTCAAATTCCGTCTCCAAGGACTTGATTTGCGCAGCGGTGAACGCTGTGCGTGGCCTCTTCTTCCTTTCATCGTCGCTAATATTGCCGGAAGTTTTCTCCTGGGTGTCTCTATCCGCCGTTGTTGTTGAATTCGCACCACTGCTGCTGGTGCACACTTCTGCAATAGCGTTTCGCATTCTTATATACCGATGAAAAACACGAGTAACATAATTTTGTCGAGCTGTATTCTTTAAATGTATTCCGCCAATCAGCAACAGCGTACATCAACGATGACGTTTATGACACTACGGAGATAAAATCGGGGGCGTTAATAATCGAATACTCGCGTCATGTAAATACCCTTTTGATGGTCGAACGTCGGGTGTATCGGACGTAAGTTATCAAACGTCGTCTGATTAAGTAACTGCAAATTACAAAGCGCTACATGTCGTCCGGCGTCGAAACGAGAAAGTAACGTAAAAGCGTCTGAATAATGGATGCGAAATCGCGTCATCATTTACTCGAAACCCGTTACTTTCATCGTGGACACCGTATCTTTATCCTTTTAATCGCTTTTGAATGAGGTTAACGCGACGCGCGCGAGCTTACACCGCTGAACGCGAGCGGGTTCCAATTACCCCCGTGGAATCCTCTTCCTCCATCAATCTCGGGCCTCTCTTTTTTGTCCGCCGAAGTTGTTTATATTTATATTTATCCCGGCTTACGAGGCGGCCTTACATGACGTCGCGTCGCTCGTCGTGAGAAATGTCTTCGGACTCGCTTTTAAGCGGCTGGTAACAAGACCGCGCTTTTAAACGCCGGAGGATCATCTTCTAATTATCTGCTCATTCGTCATCCGACGAAAAAGCGTAGCGTCGCGACGGCCGAGTGAGCTTTCACGGGACACTTGCGTCTAACGTTGGGAACGCTACTGACGCTGATATTGTTGAAATAAATAAAAATTGAACAGCGAATAATGAAGAAATTAAAGTAATAAAAAAAAAAACTCGCTACTTCTTGAATAACATTTCCTTCAGCGATATCCTCTTCAAATGAAAATACTTGTTATCTTCCAAACGATAGATAGTATTAAATATATGAAACATGTGCTCGAAAAATGAAGTTTAATATCTCACATTTATCTCAACAAGATACAAAAAGCAAATTATCCACTATGCGACGTAAAGAGTCAAAGAAGTCAGTTATTATAACAATATAATAAAAAAAAAATACTGTAGTACGTTTAAAGTTTCGATATCAAGGTTAAACTGAAGAATTCAACTCTGAAGACACTTTTAGAAAGAAACGAGTTATCTTTCTCTTTCGCTTCGTTCTTTGAACCATCTGAGCTCATTAGGCATTAGGCGTTATTTCGGTGTCGATGAATCGGAAGCTTTCCAACTCGGGAACAGAAGAAAATCGATTCAAATGGCCTCTCTTGAGTGGGCTGCACCAGCAATAAATATCTCGAAAAAACTATTCGCGGCGAAGCCGTACGGAGGAGCGCCGTTTACTGGCTACTAATTGTCAGATGGCGACGTAATTGTCGCGTTTCTCGCGCGTTTTTCCTCGCCTACAGCCGTAGTACAGAATCGTCGGCTAAAACCGTACCGCCTCTAATTCACTCTGCGCGTAACGTGCCACTGACACGCGTATTCGATGCAGCCCTCCGCTCTCGCATTTTCAAAAGGGGATCATGATAGTCGTTGAGAACAGAGTTCTAATATTTCGTATTTAGATCATCATATATTTTTTCAGCTTTTAAATATAGCCAGAATATAGTTGATCAATAATCCTGAGATAAAACGAGACATTCCTACTTGATCCGTAGGACCAATTATAAAAATGTACGTACAATTTTGCCCCATATCTTTGTTTTCGTTGTTTTCTATTGAATAAGCACACATATAAGCATTTCTATATTCAAACATTGTATATATAATATGTACAAAAAGTAACTCATTTTACATATACACACAATCATATTTCCTTTCTTTAGAAACACATGGAATCAAGAAAACTGAAAATATCAAATAATGTTCAATGAAAACGAATTACTTATCAACCAAAAAATAATCGCCGACATTGTCTATGATCTTTCGCCGGTGTCCCGGAAACATTCGTCTATCTTTTTCGCAGGAAATAACCGACTTACTGTCGAAGAAGATGGAAAGTCGAATCAAACTTTTCAACCGATCCAATATGATATGATGTCTGATGATCTAATATATAAAACTATTCTTATCACTATAGTCAAGATACTGCAAAATTTCTTATTGCTGTCGAAATGTAAATATCAATTAAACTCAACGAATTATTCTTCTAACAACATATACAATATACGATGCACGTCACGACTTGCTCGCAACCGGAAGCACGTGGAAAAGAAAAGTACGAAAAGAGTCCGGGCGTGATGCCGCACGGGTCATTTGTCGTCGGGTTTCTGACTCGGTTGCATTGACGAATGAGCTTTGAGAAGGAGCAGGAAAGGATTGGTGTAGAGAATACGGCCGCAAAAAGGAGCCGACGACATGGAGGGCAAAGGGGAGTGAAGCTTGAGAAGCGGGGACGCGTTGAACGTCGCGGAAATAGAATACCACACCCTCTAGTTTACCTAATTGCTGCGAGCCGCAGCGAACTTGTCTCCTAATTATTCGGTGACGAATGGCACGAGAACGCGCAGTTCGCGATAAAGCGCGGCTAAATCTCATTCGTCTGACGTTGCCTGCGATTTCATGCTTGCCATCGTTCGCGAGGATAATTAATTTGTGCACAAGCCGCGACGATTGGCACATCTGGTTTGGAAATGGCTCGACGAATGGACTCTTTGTTATACGAGCTGTCGTCCGAGTTCAAGAGCTTAATAATTTAAACGTTAATTCAAGTTTGTACTAAAGAGATTTTAAGAAATTGCTCAAATTACTTTTATTAATTATTTAGACGAAAAACATCACGGAGAAAAATAATTTTACTGTTGTAGCGAAACCATATTGCACAAATCATGTTGCAATAGCAATAAAATTTGGTTGGCATAATCAAATTGGCGAATTATTCGTAATCAAGATGTCGATTGATATAATTTCACGTAAAAAAATTTCATTTTTCACTTTCTGCTTTACCGATTCCGCGTGAACTTTTTCACTATTCGCGCGATTACGTAACGCTGAACGTGTGAAAAATAAAAATTACCAAAAATGATTAATGGTATATTATCGGAGAAGCGAGCCTGTCGTTGGAACAGCTAACCAACATCGTAACCTTAAAAATAATGCTATAATTTTAGAAATATTATGTTTCTTTTATCTCAATGTAGTAGTAATGGCTTCTGCTCACAGGACACGGAAATGCTTGCCGCGTGGCAAGAAGCGACGCGGCAGCCAAGAAACTTTTCACTTTTCACGTTTCCACCCTAGGGAAAAAATTACGTAATCGATACCCAGAGTTCTCAGCAGAAAATATTCTGCTGAGTGAATTTGTCCTTAGTTCATGTTAATTTGCCGTTAAAACAAAATAACGTTTTTCTACATTTACTAATTTGTTCTTACAGCAAAATAATTTGTATATTCAGCAAGATAATCTAGCGAATGGCAATTAGTATTCTTAACAAATCGTTTTGCAACCCATATAGTAACTGACGGGTTTTGCTGCGACAGCATAAAATTTGCTGTGCCAGCAAATTATTTTTCTCCGTGATACGTTACAAGAATTCAATCTAGAAACATTCGAGATATTGTTCTTCGGTTTTAATACAATATATCAGTTTTGCCTAAACGTTATTAATATATCAGGTATGTATGGAAAAAAATAATTTAGCTGTCGTAGCAAAACCATCGTTGCTATTGCATATATATTCGTTGCGACAGCAATAAAATTTAATTGGTATAACCATATTAGCGAATTTTCGTAATTAGAGTAGAAACAGTTTTGTCGCCAGGATAGAAAATATTCCGCTGGATGAATTTGTCCTTAAAACACGTTAATTCGCTGTTAGAACAAAATAGTGTTTTCTACATTTATCAATTTATTCTTACAGTAAAATAATCCGTAGATTCAGCAAAATAATCCAGCAAATAACAATTAGTATTCTCAACAAATCATTTTGCTGTTCAAATATCGGCTGACAACGATTTTGCTGCGACAGCGTAAAATTTGCCGCACTAGCAAATTATTTTTCTCCGTATGATTTATGTGCGAAAATAACGTGAGGGCATCGTGTATAAATTAATGGCGTTAATATCCGGATATTCGAGTACTTGAGTATTACTTGGAGATTACCCAAGTCTTTCAGCTATTTTCTTGGTGTCTAGCTATCCAATTATTTCAAAAATTGCCCGGATACTCGAGTATTGCGATTAGTATATCTTAAAAAATAAAACACGAAGCGAAGTCGATTGCCATTAAACCCAGTAACAGATGGTAGATGAATATTACCCGGGTATTTCGGGTAAAATGAGTTAAGTACCGGGTGGATACTCGGGTACCCGGTTTATATAAACTACCCGGTTTATACTGACAGCATTAATATGAAAATAAAACTGTTGTCCAAATCATAATGGGATCGTTCAAGAAGAAGCGCTTTTCTCTTGCATCGTTCCTCGCTCTTTACGCTGTTCTTTCACGAGAATTTACGCCACACGTTGACGGCTTTGTAGTTGGACGCGACGTCTCACATATCTCACTCGCAACGCACGACGCAAACGAGGATTGTCCTTTCCTTAGATCTCGAATTTATCGCTTTGCCCATTAAGACGTGTAAATCACGACGTGGATTCGCGCCCTCCGATGAAAATTAGTCGTCGGGGCCTCTGAGATTCCGCAAAATTAAGTCGTTTGTTTCTTATATTAATTACCCGTAAAACGCAAACAAGATCGCTTTCTACTATGTTGTGGCGACTAAGATCTGTTAAAGATGACTCTAGTTTTGGAAACCGTATAGCCTGACAGCGATCATTTTCGAAAATAACTTTAGGCGCAAAACTTATAGCGAGCGAATAACGAGGATAATGGCTGACCGGCAGTATACATAACAATAAATTAACTATAATATCGTAGAAGAACAAACAATTTCTGAATTTCTGGGTTTCGCAAAAATGTTCGCTTCTAAGTTAAGTTTTATTAAAAGAAGCGACTATTCTTCCAGAACAATCTCAGCAACTTAACATATTTTGAAAATGATACATCCTAAAATTCGCAGAGAAGTCTTGCTAGCGCCGCTCTTTTCGATTTTATTGCAAGCAAGAGAGCAGGTTTTGCTGTACTTTCATGACAGAATTAGCAGGAGACAAATAAATAGTGGACGAAGAGCAGAAACATTGAGTGGGCGTGGAGCCTGCAGGAAGTAATGGATCAAACTCACGGGCGGCAGTCCTCTCCACGCGATCTTCACGAATTCGTTACTGTAAGGAGTCGCATATGGATTTTATAACAATTAGTCCCTCTGGTGCCCGCAATAATGTTGCCAGTTAACCGATGCAAAATCGGTCTCGACGGATGGCAATTTAGTTCTCGACTGTGTCAAAGGCTTTAAATAATCTATGGAAATCTTACGACATGCTCGCACTTGCGCCGTCATTAATTAAGAAGACTATTTTTGCTTCTTATTAACACCGTCAAGATTCTGCAGATGGTACATGGTAAAAGATTCGAAAATCCTCTGTTTATTGTTACCGTGTTAATATAAAATAAAGAGACATACAAATAGCTATCAACGTTGTTTAAAAAAAATATAAATTACCCCCCTCCAACTTTCATGTTTTATTAAATATGAGATATCTCTCTTGAAATCGCAGCCTTTCTGAAAAACGTCAATTATTTGGGCGCAGTGTTAATATAAAAAATTGTACTTTTAAATCTTATCGTTCTTAATAGGATTATTAACACATGGGAGAACTATATAATTTATATGGTACTCTTGAAGCATAAAATCGTACAGATGTCAACGAAGATTAGGTTAATTTTTCTCTGACACGCCGCGCGTTAATAATATTTTAACGCCGATGTTTGCCATCGGTGAAGATAACTTTCTTAATCGTTTGATTTGAGGGAACAAATATGTACCTGAAGTGCTTCCACGATGATAAAATAACGGCATTCTCGACTGAAACAACTCTATTAGCTATTATCGACGAATTCAAATATTGCCGAAATCTTTATTCGTCCGTTTTCGCTCAAAATGTCTTTATTAATCAGGCGATTTAACAAAATAAATACAGATGTTACACACTTGTGTAACGTGCAAGCTTTCGCATTCCAGAGTTGGCGTTAATATAAATGTATTGACGGCTGCGGATTTATTCAAATTTTGAAGAAGTATACACATATGGAGTCTTCCTTAGGAAAAAATATACATAAATATTTAAAAATAAAAAAAATATATTCTTTAAAATAAATATTTTGTCATAAATATTTATGTAATTGTCTGAAAGTTTAATTTTGTTAAATAATACTTGAATAAAACTCACCGTAATACATCTCTGGTTCCGGAGATGTCGAGCAAACCATATCGGTATCATCGAGCTCAATTTCCTCCGCCATTGACATGGATGAATCGGGGGCGACAAGTATTCTCGTATCCGATTCCTTACCTGACAAATATATATATGTACAATTATTTCGCTTCATCTTTATATAAATTATAGATTTTGATACTTCTATATCATTGTCTGTGCAAAAACCTTTTAAATAAGAAGAAAATATGCATGTCGCTTCTAGACAAAAATAAATTTTTGTTAAATAATGGAAAAATGTATTATTAATTACAAAAATATGCACATACTTTAAAATATTATATTTTATAGAGAGAGATTATTTTAAATTGTGACAAATAATATAAATAAATAACACACTATTAAGTACTCATTTCGTGTATATTCCTATTATCACAAAACGAATATATTTTTCTCCTAAACCAAACAAATTTTCATAACATTTGTGAAATATATGATTAATATTATATAAAAATTAGATAGAATATCATTAATTACATTACAAGGAAAGCTTTCAGAAATGATAAAATAATTTAAGATAATAAAGAAATAAATCATAAAAATTATTCATTTATTTATATTCTTTTCAGAAAGATGTTTAATAAAGTTTAATTATAATAAATCAAAATATATCTTTTATTGCTACTTACTTTCTTGGCCGAGTGAAGATAAATCGATTTGTTGTCGGAACTTATTCCCTTCCTCATTCTTCTTACTTGGCGCTAATAATCTCTCGATACTGAAGGAGCACATCTTTGAATTTTCCGCGGGATCGCTTACTTCTTTCAATAAATCGGATTTTCTAAACTGTTCATCGGACATCTTGAACTCGTTTTGACTGAGACAATACTCAGAAATGTTCACATTTATTAGTAACATCTATCAAAACTTTTCATGCTTTCAAGTGATTATATCGCTGACATTAAAATGATATGTGTTAATATTTCATTTTTTTTTAAGTACTATTTTTATTTACTTCAAAGATTACACTTTAGTCTGCTGTCACCACTATTCTTTTTCAAACGAAGGAATTCCGTTTTTGCATTACCTAACCGACGTCTTAGACATCGATTAACCAACTAAGAAACTTCACTAAAATGTAACTGCACGATTTTAGTATCTCACACTGCAACATACTTTTTACCAGTTAGCACATTGCACTTGTATTAAACAAAACACGGAGAAAGAATGAAAACGTCGATGATCGAAACAGACAGATAGCAAGACTGGCTACATTGGTACCCCTTGATCTGTTCAAGAGATTAGAGCCGAAGCCAGCGGCTTGGGGTTGCACACGGTGTTCAACAATATTTTTTTGGCACACTAGTCAAATTCTTAGTCCCTCGAGGCGGTATTCCGGAGCCACGTGCTCAAACGTCATCGTAAGACCGACCAATCGCACCAACTTCTGGGCGGATCTTGGCAAGCACGTGCGTTTGTGGAAGGAGCTTTTAATGATCTCGTAGTGTGAGACGGTAGCGACCACTAAACGGTGGTAATGAGGTGACCATAAATTTCTGTCACCGCCCTGGAACGCCGTTTAATAATCGTGATAGGGAGCAGATGCGATGCAAAATTGATTCAGTTATGAAGTCCAACGACTTAATAGAGTTATCGTAAATTCCACGTAAAAACAACAAATTCTAACTGCAAGGATGCGTGTAGATAATTTAAGCGATCATGACTGAATTAGCTTTGAATTGGAAAAAATATTTTTGCTCTTTTGATTATTATTATTCGGCCAAATTCCTTGATTGATCAGTACAGTTGAAGGTGTGAATACTTGCAAAGCTATATAATCTCTTACGCTGAAAATAGATAACATTTAATGTAATGACTTGGCAATTGACTCGATAGAGCGTGAGACCACTTAACAATACGTTCGACAAACGTTTCTGCGCCTCAGAAATTGCTATTTTGGTGACCATTTGGCGCTGGCGGTTATTACAGCAAGAAACATCTCTCCCATGTGGCGCACATATTTACAGATTATCGTATACAACAATGAGATCATTTTAAGTGCGTTGTCCAGTGAACATGAAAAACTGGGCCTTCGTTATATTATTAGACATTGTCAAGAAGCAGTTTTTTGTCGTAAATGTACTCGGAAATTTACTTCGTGACATATTTCGATGAATTTGTCCCTACGATCAATTTTAATAGTATAGAGTGCAATTTTAACGAGATTATTATCATCGACCTATATATGCATCGTAATGCAAACTAATAAAGTAAATTATGCAGATGTGTCCATAATTTTGTGCAGTCCATTTATAATCATTGCATAACTCGGTTGAGATAGATTTTCAAAAGTATGAAATGGAATTTTCGCAAGTACGATAATATAAATATACTTGTTGAAGGCTAACATTGCTCCTTGGAACCGCCGATAGATATAGAAGCTTCATTTGATTTATTGCATGGATTGAAATTGTATGCCAATGTTCTTTAGAACCACTAGGAGGGTGTGACTAGAAGATCACGTTACCAATATATGTAGTACCATTCTAATGGTTCCTGTAATGTTTTATGGCCGGAAAACCGAAACCTAGAATAACTAATAAACCAAAGTGTTTGTTAATTTCACACTTAATTGACAAGTGACTATTGACAGTCAGGATGGTCGTAAATTTTTATTTCTTCTAAATATGTCCGCCGTATAATGTGACACATAGAGCGACAGGTTCCTGGCGCTTGTTTTCTCTCGTCTTGAACATATTTTTGGAATCATATTTCGACATACGAAAAATCTCTACGTTGCAATTTTGTGTCCGTTGATCATCATATTATATCGCATGTTTAGGGGAATTATTAAAACACAATTTACGATGAATCAACAATGTTTTGTAATGAACACATATGATAACGATATAATGTTTATTTCCATTAGTATGCAGCAAATCTCTCTCTATATCGAATTTTTCTGTTCTTCTTTTACATTCGAATCTTGTTTTCAAACAATTAAACTTGTTATTATAAAATTCTCCCTGTTACTTTCTATGACTTTACGCCATATTTCAGGGGGTATGGATTTCTTAAAACTTGATTTAAAGATTTAATTTGAAAACAACGAAATCAACGAATTTTTGAATATCGTTTGTTGTTCGACTAAATATGGTGAATAATCGAACATGCAAACTTACTTTCTATAACTTTTAACAATCATTATATTAACATAAAGGCTAGCACTGATATAAAAAGAACAACGTGACACATTATTATATTAATTATTACATATATTAATATTATATAGGGAATTAAGAAAAAAGAGACAATATCATAAATTGTTTTATATTTATTATTTTAGGCATCAACAGAACCAAACCCTTTGTGTCTTGTGCATTTACTACCATCAGAAAGTAAACATTCCTATCTATTATGAAATTCACATAAAGACATTTACGTAGGCAATATTCCATACACTGTTTATCT